ACGGAACAATATTAATAAGCTTTATTACCCTGGAGAAAAAAAATTACGTCGATCTAGCCTTAATCCAGGGAAAATTATCTCTTGATAAAATAATTACCAGGTAATGTAAAAAAGTGTGACTTTTAAGTTATACTAATTACACTCCGTTTATCTTTTCGTTTGGTCGCCTCGAATCGTGCAAGTAAGATTAAATCTAATCTTGCTCGCGACATCGCAGATATTAAATTTCCACGGTTCTTTCACAGCGTGTTCTATATCTGCAGTGCGCGCATATTTATATACGAGCTTTATTTTAATCGTCTTTAACATTCCGTCAGTTTTCGTTAAGTCTCGATGAATCGATCATAAAATATAATTAAATTTGGAAAATATATTTAAATTGCTTCCGCGGACGCCGTTAATAAATTTTACATTAGAAGCATGGAAATCAGATTGCCGTTGATTAGATTAAAATAAATATATATATGGATCTATGTCAATTAAAATTTGATGCGTTTATCTTTGTCCGAAAGCTTGGATGTTTATATATATATTTACGCAATGTATGTATATTTCTGATAACCCATCATCGATTAATAAATATTATTAAAACGTAAAAAATTTTTTAAGCATAAAAATATTCCATTATAAGTATCTATGTACCTAAATGCAAAAAATATAATCCTAAAGCCAATGATATGTAGAAATACAATTTATTAATTTAATCGAAGATTATTGAAATATCTCTCTCTGATTGTATGAGTATAAACGAAAAAAAATTCAATTTGCCACTTTATATGTAAGTTAAAACTATTTTTCAGAAATTAATAAGTCTAATTGCTAACGCGATATAATTTTCCTTGTAGTTCTTGGTAATTCACCGCAGCAAAGTAAGTGCACGTGTGTTTGCCATGTTATCGTATGTAGCTGTCGAAAGGAAACTCTTATTCCCTGCGTAATTTTTACGACATATATAGGTATCCTGGCATCAAACCAACTGGCACCATTAACCCAAATATATATGCCGTCCATTATGAGGCGAGAGTACCTAGTAGATAAATTAATCACGGATTTCTCTCGCGCACAGTCTTCGTTTCTATCGACCTCGAAAATCTGGCGATTCGATAATTCAGGATTCAATCAAAGATTCATTCACCACCAGAAATTCTCTTCTCGCGCGCGTTCTCAGTGCATCATTTCGTCATAGTTTTATTTAGAGCATTATATGTTATACTTTTTGTTATTACTAGCATGAGAAAGTAGCAATTGTCAACAATAAATTATAAAAGTGTTTTCGCGAAAAGATAAGAATGTTTTCTATATAGCATTAATTTATGTCTCTCATGTTGTTGTTACAATGAAATAACATATATTCATGTAAAATAATAAAGGGACGTATAATATTATATAAAATACATATATTCTGCAAGCTCCATAATTTTACCACGAATTTGCGCATTATTTATTTAACATCTATATCTCACGATTTTGTAAAGTTTTATCTAAGCTTTTAGAATTATCCTTCGGTATTAAATATTATAATTATTTCTCTGTTTTGTCGGATAAACTAAGAGAAAATATCTCAGTAAATATAATATATGTATTATTCTAAGCACAGATACCATATTCTCGTCAGTTACTTTAGAAAATTAGCTGCGAACGCATCCGAATTACGAAAAAATACACGCGGAACTCGCGCATTAAGAATCTTTTTTTCTAGAACCGAATTAAATTAACGCGACATATGCTCGGTCATATTCATTATGCAAATATGCAAATGTACACCTCATGTGTATTCGAAATTTCTCTACCCAACCATAGTTAGTGTACACGCATGTTTGTACATGGAGTACTTCGTATATAGGGTGATTTATAGAAAAGATCAAGAGTATCAATAATAAGCGTTTTTACATAAGAAAAATAAGTCCTTCTTAGGGGTATAGAGCATACAATTTATATTAAAAATATTTCTCTTTTCCTTTTTAAAATTTAATCTCAGTATTATAAAGAGAAAGCTAACTTTTAGATTCATATCTGTGTTATTGAGATCGTATATTATATTCTGTTGAAATAAATAAATAAAAAAACTTGGGATATAATAATATCGAATTGAATTTTTCGCTGAGAAAAGAAGAGAAATTATGGTTTGAAAATGAAGTGAATATATCATTCAGAACTGTAGCTAAAATAATTGTGGCAAGTTCAATTGTCCTTATAAAACGCGACAGACTGTATTATACTGTGAATTGTCAAGTTTTCTAGATCACAAATGAATGTATAAAAAATTTCAATAGAAGGCATTTGTAACTCTTCTTACAGACAACACTCACAGTGGCACGAATCTGAAATTTAATACCGACAGCGACGACAGGCAAAGTCATCAAGATTAAGTCGGATGAGATGATCGATATCGGATCCGATCTTTTTGGGGCCACCCCGTACACACATCCCCATATACGCACACGTAAATGCATGCAGGTGCCGCGGCGCTATGTGCTGCACCCCCGATCCGTGCACGCTCGCGATCGCGCCGGCCGCCGCCGTGGATGCAACGCGAGGTCGGCGCGGCGCGCGGCGCAGCCGTGGATCCCCCGCGTGTGGGTGTAGCGTCGGTGGGTGCTGCGTATACACCGGGGGGGTAGTGTAGGATCAATATAAGCGATGACACAGCGAGAGCTCATCTTTAAGCCACGCCCATAAGCACGCCGCGAACGAATGCAGACGCGAGCCCGGCCGAGTCACGGCCAATCGGCGTGGCGCATCGATTTTTCGTGCCTTTTTCCCTTTTTTTTCGCGAAAGTGAATTTCTTCGCGGAGCTGACAAGGCGGCGGGCCGAGGGCGGAAAGGGAAGAGAACGACGGAGGGGTGAAACGCGCGGGCGAAGGCTTAAAGGGCGAAACGCTGGAGTACGCGGTGATATAGACAGGGTACGATGAGGCGCGATGAAGAGAGAAAGAGAAAGAGATGGAGAGAGAGAGAGAGAGAAAGAGAGAGAAGGCGAAGAGGGAGGGAGGGAGGGAGGGAGACAGAGGGATGGAAGCAGTGACGGCAGTTGAGGGAAAGTACGAGGGGATGTTGGGGAAGCGAGGGATGAAGCGGCACGGAGAGAGACGACTGTGGAGAGAAGGCGGAGGATGAGGATCGATGAGGACGGGGTGACTCTTCCATACCAGGGGTAAACGAACCTCCATTTCATCTACCCTTCATGCCGTTATCGGTTGTCCCTTTTTCAATCGAGGGAGCCCCCCCGCTGCTAGGGACATCGAGGTGTACCGCGAGCTCATCCTCGCACGTATCTTGCCAGCCGAAACCGGCGTTTCTTGTCGTTGTTTAAAATTGTATTGCTTATCCGTTAATAATGTAACACGTGTGTATCACTTTTCACGAAAACGCGAGTTTTCTTATTCTCTCTCGATTAACTAATATACCGGCTACATTACGGGAAGAGAATCTTTTCGACGAACCGTAATATGGATTTTAGTAAATATATATAGTCTTGCGAAATATTAAATTGCGTATTAATAGGACATAAGAAATATTAATGAATTTTTTGATAACTGATTATTTTATAAGTTCAGCTACTTCCACATCTCGTAATAGATGTGGAAATAACTAAACTTATTAAAAGAGCTAATTATTGAAGAATTCAATAACTAGCTCTTTATAATATATATAATAATATATATTTATATATATATTATTATTAATAATATATATTTCTTATGTCCCATTAATGTTATACTAGATAATATAAGCTCGTTGAATCAATGGAAAATAATTAATGTAAATATTTTTACTTTATAATTTAAATTTAAAATATGTTTATGTTGAAATAATTAAACGAGTAAAGCCATAGTCTTCCAAATAAATTTCCGGGAAAGACTCAGATTACTTTCACTGCTGCTAATTTGAGATAATATTGTAAGATTAATATAAAAAAGTTGATGTGTCAAGTCTACATAATTTCTAATTCTTTAGAAAAGTTTATATTAATATTCCTTATATAAAATATTGAATTAATTTCATCTTTAATTTGGAATTTATTTCACATTATTTAAGGAATGTAAATAAAAGTTTCAGTTTTCGTTATCCTGCTCCATTCACATCAAACACATATATGAGTTTTAATTTTCAGTCTTATTCTTTTTCACTATTCTTAAATTAATCTGCATTTTGTTTCCCATTTTTCTCCAACTGTTTACAACATTACATTATTACATTATCACTGATAAAAAAGGATATATGCATAGGAATGTATATATGTAAAACTATATGTGAATGACCGCAGTAAGCTCAAATCCGTGGATTTGCAAAAGCTCAAATGATTATATGCGGATCAGTCATCCCTGCGGGAAATTTGTACGAATAACTGAACCTCTTTTGCCATCTTGCAGTACGTGACATAACTGTGCGGGAAACGCTTTTATCACTCGCGGTAACATACAAAATATTTATAAAATAGTTTGGTATCTACTCCTATTGCAAGCTTCTACATTTTATATTATACTTTGATTTTTCTTACAAAATTTTTCAATAAAATGATCAATCCGATTTTTAATATATTTAATTAAATAAGTTACTATTCAATTAACTTATTATCCTGAAAAAATTAAAAATCTAATAATTTTAAAATTTCAAAATTTTTATAAATTTTTAGTATGATATTAAAGCTGTTTACTCAATATAGTAGTAAGGTGACAATTAAATTAAAAGCAAGATGTAGAGCTTATATAATTGCATATGAAAATATACCAATATTAATAATTGTAATCTTAATCAAATTAAAATTGTATGATACATAGATCATTTTTTTAAGCACTGCTTAGAATTTTGGTATATACAGCACTACTAATTAATATAATTTCTATATAAATTGTATGTTATAGCAGAGAAGAAATAGTTTTGCATTTCAGTACTTATTGGCAGTAATGAAAATCACAAAAAAGGTATGATTTATAACTTGAGTTACCACAACAGTGATACACACTTAAACACTGTACAATTAATTTTATTCACTTACCACATTGCTGTTTGCCTCATCCGTTCTAAATTTCTTGAAAAATGCTCCATGTCAGTCGCAAAAATGATAAATATCTGAAACAAGCATTTAATTAGATGCGAATTCATATCGCAATATAAAAAATGCAGAACAATTTTTATGTTATAGCAGAGAAGAAATAGTTTTGCATTTCAGTATTTATTGGCAGTAATGAAAATCACAAAAAAGGTATGATTTATAACTTGAGTTACCACAACAGTGATACACACTTAAACACTGTACAATTAATTTTCACTTACCACATTGCCGTTTGCCTCATCCATTCTAAATTTCTTGAAAAATTCTCCATGTCAGCCACAGAAATGAAAAAAATATCTGAAACAAGCATTTAATTGGATATATGCGAATTCATATACCTATCGCGACATAAAAAATGCAAAACACAAGAATTCAATTAATGCACTTTGACCCATGATACGTACATACATGTATGTACGTAATCGTATATACGTGAACATTTGAACATTTCCAATTAATGCACATGCTATATATATAACGCTATGGTCGCACGGAGTTTACTTGACGAAACTGATGCATATTCGCGCTTTTATACGACACGATACAGTGGCTGCGTTCCACTTGGAACTCGAAACGCTCTTCGAACCATTTCAATTCCTCGTTGTTTATCAAAGGGAGACGCGCTACCGCGCGTCTCCTGATTGTTAAACAAGAACAATGACGCTCGTGAGAGTTGTGAGCGTCAAATGGAACGCACCCGCCAATTATGTATCCAGTGTAGATTCTGCATTGAACGCAACGGGCACGCACAATATCATCACGACGTTTCGAATTCCCGATGTGTTGGCGTCTAACGAAAAGTCGTGCTTCGATTCTTTCGAGGAAAAAAAACAACATAAGGATCACTTTCGCGTGCCTATCGCAACGGAATCTGTACTCACTGGCGTCACAATCGTTTCGAGCCACGGAGAGCACCGTCGACTGCGACAGACGAAACGCTCGAGGCCAGCGACAGCCGACACTTCCGGATCTTCCGGCAATCTCCTCGTCGGTCCCGTCACTTCAGCCGGCAGAGAATCGCGTCCGCTGTGCATTTTCAACGAGTATAAAACACTCCCGATTAATCGCGGAGGAACCGTGTCCTCACGTCCGAACCGACGCGCCGTCGAACTGTCATGGCGGCCGGACTAGCGCGCGCAAGGTACCGACACTTCGCAGCTTTTTGGACACGTGGCGCCATCTGACGTGGCCGCGATGTTACCGCGTAGCATGAGGTCTGCGAGTTGACCGAGAGATGGCACTCGCAATCAATTTCTCAGCTGAGCAAGGCTGAGCAAGGTTAGCGTACTCGATTGACAATGACTTGCCTCGGCAGTTATTTCGTATAAATGAATTGAGCAATTGCGTTATTTTTATGAATAACTATCGTGTTAAATAAAGTCGTGACGAAGCTACGAGCCTGCTGCCAGCTGCAGTGATTAATTGTGATTGAATCTATTTGAGTAAAAACGGATCAATTGTGTTCAATCGCTCGGGCGAGCAGGCTGGATTGCTTGGACACGTTCAATTAATATTCTTAATTATTCAGTATTAAAATCATATAAATCAATTGAGCAATTGCATTATTTTTACGAATTATGATCGTGTTAAATAAAGTCGTGACGAAGCTACACGAGCCTGCTTGCTAGCTGCAGTGTTTAATTATGATTGAATTTATGAGTAAAAATAAATGTTTAATCGCTCGGCGAGCAGGCTGGTTGTACCTTGAACACGTTCAATAATATTCTTAATTATTCAGAATAAAAATTCCGTAAACAGCTTGCATTGAGAGGATATATACATTGACTGGTACTACTGTATAGTAATTTTCTCTGTTTTCTGTGTAATTAGTTTTATTAATGATATCTATTAGTTTGATGATACGGAATTTTTATTTACGCGTACACTTTTATCCCTGAATCTCAATAAATTTCTTGCATTGTTTATATAATACATCATAATTTTTACGAATTATGATCGTATTAAATAAAGTCGTGACGAAGCTATACGAGCTTGCTGTTTAATTAATATTGAATTTATGAGTAAAAATAAATGTTCAATCGCTCGGCGAGCAGGCTGGTTGTGTTTGGACACGTTCAATAATATCCTTAATTATTCAGAATTAAAATTCCGTAAACAGCTTGCATGGAGAGGATATACATTGACTGTACTACTGTACAGTAATTTTCTCTGTTTTCTGCGTAATTAGTTTTATTAATGATATCTAGTTTGATGATACGGAATTTTTACTTACGCGTACACTTTTATCCCTGAATAATATCCTTTTATCCCTCAATAAATTTTTTGCATTAGTCTATATAATACATCATATAATACATCTAAGGAAGTATCACATATAACATTTTTATAATGGCAGCGGATGTTGAAAAACTTCATATATTTTTAATTACTATAAATATTAAAGAAGATCGAGGAACGATATTAAAAGAACGTATTGGTCTTTATGTCTTTTGTAAGTTTGAAAGGACACGAGAAGGAATAAACTTAGAGAAATTATATATTCTAAAGGGCAGGAATGAAGGAGAGAGTTGAAAGAGAGAAAAAAGAACCGAACTTCTGTCTTCTATAGTTTCGAAGAAAATTCGGTTATAGGATAGATTATTATTTATTAGATTGGAAAGAATGCTGAAATTTTTCATGCTTGTATTTAGTTTCTGACCCAACTTTCGTTGGGTACACAAAAAATTGGTCTATAGACTCATCAATTGTTCCCCTCCACGGAAATCTTTAGTAAAAGGCGAAAGATTTATGCGTGAATTGAAGGGAAACCAGAGTGCCTGAGTCTTCCTCGGCTCGTCTACTTATAGTATACTGTAACAAATCTTACTTACGAGAAAGCAAGCCATCTAGCGGTGGCGAACGATTACTAACCGGCACAAAAGCGCGGGCAGCCGACACCTGGTCGACGACATCGACTTGCTTGACGCTTGTTGTTATTCCCTTCCCGACATCCCCGTTTTTCATCTTGATCTTACCGGTTTTAGCATAACCGACAACCCACGACAACCTCGTTTGGCTGTCGTTTGGTAGGTATTTCACGATGAATTATTTTTAGTATATGTAGTTATTGTCCAGCAAATCGCCGTAATCGCGACAAGTGTATGTATAATCGTGTCAAATAATTTCGAGTACAACTTAATTTTATGCAATAAATTTGTTTTCTTAAATTTGATTCTGAGGAGATGCCTCTTGGAAACTTATATAAATTATTATATTCTGTCTTCCGCATATAGAAAATTATGTTTCAGAAATTAAGCAAATTTTGCTGAAATAAATATCAGTCGAAGTTATAACAGCGGAACGATGAGCGATCTACTGTGATACTGTCGGAACCTTGAAACTGTCCCCGTCCTGTTACAAGGAAAACTCGGGAATAAATGGTAATAAAAGTAACACGGCGTCACACGAGGATCCAATTTTCTGCCGCTACCGCGAATTTCCTCACCTAGCTTATCCCATTCTTGTGAATTACTGGATGTGCTGACTGCGCACCGAGAAAGTCTTTGCTAAAATTTCATTTCCCCTAACCTTTACAATTCGATACGACGAAAGTGACGTAATTAACATATATATATATATATATATATAAAATAGCTGTAAAGATTTATATATATATATATACCTATATATTAGTCTTTTATACATTGCAGCTATTTAATATGTATATCTAAAAGATACAGATTTTTTTCTGTGCTTTTTTTTCAATTTCATTTGACTCTTCCCAATATGTTATTTATTACTCGTTTTAATAATTAAATTGCCGATACGTCTCAGAATGTACATTTTTGCAATTTAAATTTTTTTAAATATAAATTATCGATTTTTGTTCTATCTTTCTTTCTATCATATAAAATTCTTATCATATAAAAACATAAATAATCTGTAATAAATAAAAATAAGGCTCATGTTAACATTTAGTTAAAATATTGTTCAAATTGATTAACAATCAGATAGAAATCTTTTTTATAATATTTTGGACGTAAATTTTCCTGCTTAAAAATTTTTCAATTCTTAATCGTGCTTGTTTGAAATTTCAAAAATGTTTAGATATTTTCTCAGCTTTTTTTTAGCTTTGTTTCAATTAATACAAAATATGCCATGTATATGTAGTGAACATTTTTATATTTTTAATGAAACCTTATAGTTGATATTACGTTATTACAGATCCAATTCTCGACGGGGGCGTAGCTCAGATGGTAGAGCGCTCGCTTAGCATGCGAGAGGTACCGGGATCGATACCCGGCGCCTCCAAGATGTCCTTTTTTTACTCTTTTGGCCAACAAATTATTATAACGAAAAAGGAAAGCATGCAGGTATTGAAAAAGATATTTATGCAAATTTTTTTTTAATCTGTTCTCTTTTACACGAAAATATTTTTTGCTGCTTTTTTATTGATAAAATTTTACCAATCGATATTGTTGAAAACACTTATTAGAATTAATGTGATATAATTTGGAGTAGATTGATTCCTTAATAAATGATTTAAAGATTTTTATTTTATATATTATTATTGTAAAATCACGTGTTAAGTTTTTCTGTGTTCCAATAACGTTCTCGTCTCACGTAGGCGCCGTGGCTTAGTTGGTTAAAGCGCCTGTCTAGTAAACAGGAGATCGAGGGTTCGAATCCCTCCGGGGCCTCAATCCCGTGGTTATTGGGATAAAGGAGACTTTTTTTTTTTATTCATCTTGAGATGTTTGTATTAATCTTTCTATTTCTACATGAGAAATACGCATTGAGTACGTTATTTGCGTTTATTATTTTTACTTGTATTTTAGACTTACTTTGTATTAATCATTTATTGCAAACATAAACTTGCTAAAAAAAATAAGAAACGATGTTGAAAGAAATCATAAATTCGCAGTAATATCACAAATAATTCACAGCAATATCCTTGTACACAGGTTATAAATTTTTAATGTCTAAAAATTAAATACTATAAGAATAATAATATAATAATTATCACGTAATTATTACAATTATCAAGTACTTAATTATTATAGTAAATTAAATAATAATTGATCATAGAAGAGATTATCATAAGAAGATCATAAAAAGATTACGTTAATGATTCCGAAGTTTTTCTATTATAATCAGAAAATATAATGATGTGATTAATATACATATATAGTTATTTAATATGTAAAATTTAACTTTTAAGGAAATGATTTTAAATGATTTAAAGTCACATTGAAAATTTAATTACTGCTTTGCATTGATTAACGCTTAAATATAACGGTAAAATCTAACTCATAGCATTAAGAAAAAATTGACCATGACAATCGTTTCTCATTTCATTCATGGCCACATTTTATATTTGGCTCTAAAAATGTTGCATTTTATGCAGACAATCTCGCGGTAGCTTTATTGAATACAGCTAGAGAATTCTAATGAGCATAGTAGAGGTAAAGCACATATTGACATGCGAATATGTCACGCGATATGCACAAAATAAATTTAAAATTGAATATATATTACAATAATTGTACTTTTTACAATCATGCTACTTATATTTTTTACGTTTTATTAGATCTTTATTATCTAATTAGATTATGAACTTACGTAATCGCATTTACTGGCTTAAAAAACACAACTGTGAACGAAGTGATTGTCATGATCAAACCTTGACGAAGGAAAAAGTGGAGGACTATTTTAATGTTACCAGAAATAATCGTGTTTCAAACTGATAAAAACTTTGGATATTAAATAGTTACATATATAAGTCATTTGATCGCTGTATTTCAATTCTTTTTATTCACTGATTAATTACTTTACTCTAGACCCTATTGAAATTATTATTTGTATATAACTTTTGCATATTGTTTTACTTATAAATATATTTAACAGCTTAAATAGTTAAGTTCACATTTTTTTCAAAAGAAGCAATTTTTTTGTCTGACTTTTAATTTAAATTTAATCTTTTTGTCTTTATTTTTAACAATTTCCTTTTCTATTTCTAATCTTTCTTCTCGTGGCTCAAGATACAGTTACCAGTAACATAATACATTATGCAATAGTTACTTAACTTAATAGAGAAAAAAGAATTGAGGTAGTCTCAAGTAGTCTTAAACAGAGAATTTGAAAGTGACACAAGATACAGCAATCTTCGTCTGCTTTCTATTTGTATTGCTCTTCTACTTTCTATTTGTGAATAGAAATTAATCTTCGATTCTTGGCTCTTGCAATATCATAATAAATTATAATCTAAAATTATTAGGTCTAAATATTTAAGTCTAATTAAACATTTTTACGAAATTAATATATAATTATTTTAATTTTCTCGAATATAGAACAATGCAAGTTCAAAAGGAATACAACATTTGTTGTTTTGATCTCGTTTGGCGCGACAAAAATTAATCTAAACGACGTGATTTAATCTATCAACTTGGAAACTGGAGAAAGAACTTAAAACTTATATTCATCAATCATGGAATGTGATGTGTCATAACTCTTTTCCAGCAAACTGCCAAACTGAAAGTCGTGAAAGTGGGTCGCCGAGAAACCAGTTGGAATTAACGAGAAAAAAAAAATTATGGGCTCGTCCGGGATTTGAACCCGGGACCTCTCGCACCCTAAGCGAGAATCATACCCCTAGACCAACGAGCCACTTCGAGAACTTGTTGCTCCTAAAACGGTTGACCACTCGGACAGTCAAATATCGGTCAATCAAATGTACGTGACTCTCGTTCCATTCACATACAAAGGTAGGTTAAAACCATTATAGATATTTAAATTTATTTTCAAGTTTCTTATCTGAAGGTCTCTAAATATATATAAATTAAGACTCTCAAATATCTAATAAGTCCAAAAGTCTAACAGATTGAAAATGAAAATTGGAGCTACGGTTTAATATAACATAAAATATTAAATATCGCTACTTTTTCAGAAAGCATATTCAAAGATAAAAATGCCAGATAACGTGACGACAGGAGACCAGAAGATCTTCCTAACAATAAAGGAAAAGCGCACGGCGAAGGATAATGAAGGACAAAAAATGGATACACGCAGAAAGGTAACAAATGTTAAAACGATATTCGATATTCAAACTGAAGACAGCTAATGTCGTGCACGTAACTACTTTAAAAGAGTGCATTAAATATTTTTATTGGATAATGAATAACTCCTTCATCTCTTAATCTCGTTTAACTTTGTGATTACGACCATGTGGGAAGATCAAGAATGAAAAAGTTTTCATGAGGCTCGTTGGTCTAGGGGTATGATTCTCGCTTCGGGTGCGAGAGGTCCCGGGTTCAAATCCCGGACGAGCCCACCAATTCTTTCTTTTTGCACTTTACTATTGCTGTGAGAGTCAACGACATTTATGCGGATTGCTCCGAATCGTGACGTAGGGAAGGGAAAAATTAAATAGAACGGATTTCCTTTTATATTATTGATGCTCATATAACGATACGCTCATGAATTAAAACTATAAGTATTAAAACTATAATTAAAACTATAATTATAATTAACTATAATTAATTAACTAATTAATATAATTATATTAATGTAAATAATAAACTATAATTATAATTAACTATAATTAAAATTAACTATAATTAAAACTATAAGTATTACAATTAAAACTATAAGTATAAATAATTAGTTTACATTGGATAGTAATTGGAAAACATCATAAATCGACAGAAATCGATTGTATACTGTCTTAAATCCGGACAAAGTTCCCGTTTTTGAAATAAGAAAAAGAAGAATAAATATTTAAAAAAAGGCATTATCGGTCATTTCTCTCGATCTGTTTTATGAAAGAGCAACTTAACGTGCAATCAGCACGAAGATATACAAATCATAGGGCTTGGCTTATATTATAGTGAAACAAGATCTCTTCTATTGCACTAATGCTCTACTCTTACTGCTTTGGAAAAGAGAAACAAAAAAGTATAAATTTAAAGTATACAATTAAGAGCAAACATTTCGGGGCAATTTCGAGCTGATTTACGGGAATAAAAAAAAATTTCTTGGACATATTTACATTGGCTTGATTAATTATTTCATGACACTATTTCAGTTACGTTTAACTTGTAGTATCTCCGAATTTCTATTAAACTGTTAATGATTTGCGGTTATATACATTGTAAGTAAGGATTCAGATGCTGGACATATTAATTACATTTAATGACATTTATGACATTTGATGTGTTTCTTGTTAATTTACGCATTTTAATTAGTTGATTCTTGGTATCTCGATGTGTTTCTTCTCGATTGGATATTTCAGAATCTCGTTACAATCAGAAAAAAATATATTTTAAATTAAAAATAAAGACTAATATATATAATATATAATTAAGAAATCCGTCATAATAAATACAATGGCACACAATTTAATTAATAGAAATAAAACTAAACTACTGATATTATTTTTATGTACCGTTCAATTAGAATCGCAGAATTTGAAGAGTTGTTTAATTAAAGAAAGATATATTCGGTTGAAGCGGAGGAACGTTTTCAGAGCACTAGAGAAGAAGAATCTCTTCCGCGCTCGACAAATTTGGTGTGCGATTACGGAGAAAGCAAGTGAAAGTTTTCTGGGTGGCGGTATTTAACGTTAGAGAACGGTATTCGACTGAAAACACTTCCGAATCATCCATCGGCTCGCGCGTTCATCTCGAGTCGTACGCGGATACGACCGATTGCATTTTTCTCGCGTATCACATTGTGTCGATAGTGATAACGAGACACGAGTCTCGGATCCAAGTGAAAGATCACTGTTAGACGACGATGTTTACGGTGCATACAAAGTGAAATTTTCGCTGTTCCGTGTAACACGTGACGCGAATGATCGTAGAGGTACGAGTTTGACAGCGGATCGTATGAATGGAAGTAAAACGAACGTCTAGGAAAATAAAAATATTTATCGTGTAGTAAATGTAATAAGACAGGCACGTGATAAGAGAGTGATAGATATTATATTATAATGTATGTTATAATGTAAGCGTAAACAGGTACACGCGACAATCATGCCGAAAGGAAGTGATCGACCCGACAGCCGAAAGGCAAAGCGGAAAACAAGTCAGTCGGTCTTAGGTTGTCATTCCGTGCACACCCGAAATACATGAGCAATTCAAGATCATCACTAGTTCTCTTTCTCAACCTTCCTACAATCGTGAAAATAGAACGAAAAACGCGAAGGAAAATTTCATCGGATTCCCATGCTTTGTAGAAGAAATTTTTCTCTTTCGCTAGCTGCTTTTAGCAGTTAAATCAATTGTTGTTATAACAGTATCGCTCATGACATAATATCTAGTGTAGGGAATTCTGTGTGATTGTTAATTTTTATTAAAAATGTAAAAAACGACTACGTGCCGTTATATTTGTAATACATAAAATGAAAATAGTGGCATGGATTGAATTGCGCAGTTTTGAATTTTACGCTAAAGTTGTTAAGCACAATGCGGCAAATTGCTATCTCGAGAACAATTTGTAGCTTTTTTTCTTTAATAATTATTTGCTATTTTTAAAATTAGAATATTAAAAAATAAGCTAATATGACATTAAGTGTGTACAAGGTCTTAAAACTGTTTTTGCGCAAATTAACAATTGCGAAGTTTTACCTTGACTTAAAACTAATCTTGATAGCGCGATCGTAAAATTTGCAGCAATGCGTATATACCGTTATATAAATAGTTCACAAAGTAGCAGTTTGCCGCATTCTGCTTAAGCTCAATTTTAGCGTAAAACTTAAAGCTACAGTTCAATCGCTTTATTCCACTATTTTTATTTTACATAAAATTTTCATTAAAAAACGAATTCTTTCAATTCTTCGTTACAGTACGATTGCGTCGCGTGCTCTTGAATTCAGAAAATATGGACACGTCGGAATTCGTGGAATTTGCCAAAGCGACTATTGACTATGTGGCGGATTACACCGAGACTTTGAGAAGCAGAAACGTATTGCCGAATGTGGAACCGGGTTATCTCAGTAAGTTATTGCCGCAAGAAGCGCCGGAAAAATCGGAGAAATGGCAGGAGATACTCAAAGACGTGGAGCAATATATTATGCCAGGGGTAAATTTTAAACAATTTTTTAATTCTTTTTTAACTATAGAAGATATTACATCACATTAAAACTTGCATATTATAGGAAATTTTAATATTTAGTAGAGTTATATTAATAAAAATATGATTCTCTATTCAGAAATAGTAAAGAAAAAAAATTCATTTTTTTAAATATATAATTAGAAATAAAAAAAATATATAATAAAATTTAATAAATAAAGAATAAACGCTATCTATTCTATGCTGCTTAAAATTAATACATCTAATTTGTTATATCTTTTGCAGTTTTTTTTTTTTTTTTTACTATGTAACTTATTTTGCCCGTATTCAAAATAAATTTTCTCAATATCTCAAAATTAATGCTAAAAATTTCTTTTTTAAATTTCTTTTTTCTAAAAAAAATGATGAGTTTTTGTCATTTTCATCAATATGTGCAGATAACACATTGGAACTCGCCGCATTTTCACGCGTATTTTCCAACGGCTAATTCTTATCCGGCTATCGTCGCTGAAATTTTGAGCTGCGCGATTGGGTGCATCGGTTTCAACTGGATAGCATCTCCAGCTTGCACCGAGCTCGAGGTTATTACGTGCAATTGGCTTGGGCGGCTGTTAGGGCTTCCCAACGAATTTTTGAATAGTAGCAATGGAACAGGTGGAGGAGTCATTCAGGTAATTGCAGCTGTATAATTATTAATTACCTAACTTTATTAACATACTAACATATAATTATACATAAATCATTGTTTTAATGTATTTAATATTGTGTATTAACATTTAAAAAATTAAATTATATTTCAATTAGTTTATATATATAGGGTGTCCTAAAATTCGCGAATCAAAATATTATAGCAAGAAATTCTTCGAAAAATTAAGTAAAAAAGTTGTTTGTAAATTTTTATTTGAAGCAGTAGTTTTTGAGATGAGGAGTTCAAATTTAGCCAAATATAAAATACGCGCTTGAAGTGCGCGACCACTTACACTATCAACGCACTCATGGACAGTTTCCGTTTAACTGTATATATAAATCTATAATTGGCTAAATTTAAACTCTTATATTTCAAAAACTATTGCTTAAAATAAAAATTTATAAATAACTTTTTTACTTAATTTTTCGGAGACTTTCTTGCTATGATATTTTGTTTGCGAATTTCGGAACATCCTGTATGTAATAATTTTATTAATCACTAATAATTCTAGGGGTCTGCAAGTGAATGTACATTCATATGTCTATTAGCTGCGAAAGAGCACACAACGCGTCGAATGAAACGTCTTCATCCAGAGTTAGACGAGGATTACATCAAATCTAAACTGGTCGCATATACTTCTAGTGAGTATTAATAAAAATAAAAAAAATTTTTGAAGTACGAAAATATATTACACGATAAAATATTTATTTATTAAACATATGTGGAGAAAGTTCAATACAAATTTGCGTATTTATTGATTTATATTAAACCCGAAATATTAAATATTTACATCTTTATGCTAATTCTGCATAAAATATTTGCATAAATATGTTTTTCTGTAAATTCTCAGATCAATCTAATTCTTCAGTCGAGAAGGCAGGAATTTTAGGATCAATGCCAATGAGATTGCTATCGGTGGACGACAAGTGCTCTCTGCGCGGAGAAACTTTGAAGAAAGCGGTAGAGGAAGATTTGGAGAAAGGCCTTATACCGTGTTACGTCGTCGCTACTTTAGGAACTACTGGCACCTGCGCCTTCGACAATATCGACGAGATAGGACCAATATGCGAAGAATATAATTTATGGTTGCATATTGACGCTGCTTATGCGGGTAAATATAATGCAATTCGTCTCTTTTTTTTTTTATTAACTTTCTATCTGTGTCTTGTATACTCGATGTAATTAATGAGAAAAAATATTGAATTTGCGTTAGTCGATTAAATACCGGTCGATTAATTACTAAGATTATACATACTTGCTCGTCATTGATCATTATATTATCACGACGAAATTCGTTAATTTATTAATTGTATTGATTCAGGTGCAGCGTTCGTTTGTCCGGAATTCCGTCATTTGATGTCCGGCGTTCAGTACGCGGATTCCTTTAACGTGAACGCGCACAAGTGGTTACTCACGAATTTCGATGCTTCAGTGATGTGGTATGTTATATCAAAATAGTTTATAATCAAATGTTTAAGTAAATTTCTCTTAATAAATCTTTTTATAATAGCATTTTCCTCACATTTTTCATTTCTGTAATAAGTAAATATACACCAAATCTCTTATTTTATTTTCAGGGTAAAAGACTCGAGACGACTTATAGAAGCGTTCAGTGTTAACAGAATATATCTCGCACACGATAATGAAGGACTTGTACCGGATTATAGGGTAAGATTTTGTAAATTTTGCCAACATATTTTTGTTGAACTAATTTCTAACAATAAAAAATATAATAAAGTGATCTTCATTCTTGTAATTTTTGTAACAGAATTGGCAGATAGCGTTGGGCCGGCGTTTTCGTTCCTTAAAATTGTGGTTTGTCATGCGCATTTACGGTGTGCAAGGACTTCAGGAGCATATTAGAAACACCATAAAACTAGCGAAACTTTTCGAGACGTACGTTAGGTCGGATGACAGGTTCGAAATAGTCACCGAAGTCGTTATGGGTCTTGTCTGTTTCCGTATCAAGGTATGTTTCTTCTAAATTTTTCTTTTATCGTAAATTAAAAATGACTCTTAATCATAGATTGTCTATTTTCTTTCTAATTATAAATTTGTTTCTATTTAACTCGGATAATTAATCATAAATTTATTTCTACCTACTCGAGTAATTAATCACTTATGATATAATATTAGAATCTCTTTTTTTTATCTGTATTATACCTTTCATTCGGATGGTTAACAGATTTATTTCAAAGATTTTTGCACTTAAAAGATTATTTCTTTTTTCAGGGTGATAACAGTTTAACAAAAGAGCTCTTAGATCGTCTGCAGGCTAGAAAACAAATTTATCTCGTCGTCGGTACGTATCGACATAAACTTGTCGCCAGATTCGTCGTGTGCAGTCGATTATGTCGGGAAGAAGACATCGCTTTCTCGTGGAATGAAATAAGTAGTCAGACAACAGAAATTTTGCGAAAGAATCTTCATCAAGAATCGGTCAATAATATCGTGAAATCGACAGACGATATTGCGACAAGGATAGAAAGTTTGAATTTAAAGACAAAGGAAATTTCGCAGAAAATATCGTAACGATCGTATCTTTGTGCCTTTCCTCTGTAAAATTGCGCGATCAATTAATTATAGTATTATATTATTATTTCTTGTGGCTTCGGTTTTTTTAAATTTTTATGTATGCAAAATCTGCATCAATATACTACTTTAATAATGTAGTGTCTAAAGATTAATTATTATTTTTTAGTATTTTTTTTCGTTATATTTTATGTTTTAGCATTCTATTGTCTAATTCATTGTACATGTTTTTTTTTTATTAAGGGGTTAGTATACCCTGACAAGATAAAAAACAAGCTAATTTTTAGGAATTTTTTTCTGGCAAAATATAAATAATATATGAAATCCGTTTAAACCATTATCTTTATTATAAATTTAAGTGTCCAAATAAATTTTTTGATAAAAAAAAATTAAAATTCCCACTGTAGGGCTCCATGTAGCGCAAGACCATTTTTTTTTTTACGGTGTACTTGAAATCTCCCGTCAGTGTAATCTCAGACAAAAAAAAATACGGTCATAATCTACAATGTATTGTCTCTCGTCTGACGGAGAATTTTGTCGTTTCACCATTTTGGCGTCGAAAAAAAGGTGAAACGACAAAATTCTCCGTCAGACGAGAGACAATACATTGTAGATTATGACCATATTTTTTTTTGTCTGAGATTACACTGACGGGAGATTTCAAGTACACCGTAAAAAAAACGGTCTTGCCCTACAGTGGGAATTTTAATTTTTTTTTTACCAAAAAATTTATTTGGACACTTGAATTTATAATAAAGATAATGGTTTAAACAGATTTTATGTATTATTCATATTTTGCCAGAAAAAAATTCCTAAAAATTAGCTTGTTTTTTATCTCGTCAGGGTATACTAACCCCTTAAGAACATTACTATTTTTCATTTGATAATTTATAGCGAAAATATAAATTTAATCAAATAGAATAAATTAATTTAAGTGATTACGTTTTTGTTAAATTTCCTAAAGATATAAGAAACTGCGAGAAAAGTGCCAATTATATATAACTTTTCTTTTCTAAGAGAGCTAGATAAGTAAACTGTTCTGTAACCCTAAAAAAGTTCTTAATGAACATATATATACATACATAAAATATTTATTATATAGTTTTTCATCATTGCCCAACATTTCTGTAACTTCCTTCTTTTTCCTTGCTGAAATTGATTGCGGGCTAATTATCACTAATATTATAAATTTCAAGTTTTATAGAGCTGATTGTTCCATTTTCGAACAAACTATACAATAATTTATCTAATGGATAAATGTCAGGCCAATATCGTTGGTTGTACAGGCATTTATCCGTTGCATAAATTATCACATAGTTTATCGGAAGGTGAAACAATCGGCCCTTAGTAATTTGAATCATAATTAAAAATGTTAAAATATTACGAGCTATGCGTCGCTCGATAAATTCAAAGGATAACAAAACAACAGCAGACGGTCAAAATGATCGAAGTTGTTTGTTTATGAATGACATGTCTTTCTCATAGCAACCCACGTCTAAATTATATACGTTTTAAATTTCCGTGCAATTAATATAATGAACTTTTTATAAATTTATTGATTTTATAATACCATATATACAATCAATGAAATGCTCTTGAGATCTAAGATATCATCCTGGAAGCTGCAGCGATTTTTCACAAGGTATGTGAGAATTAGTCAATCGTCAAATGAGATTATACAGTTTTTTTTTGCTGAAAATCGTGCTTTTTGACCTATTAGCTAATGAAATTGGATGTCACTACTTTCAATCAAAAGATAACTAATTAACTGAATGATAAATTGATGATCTCGCGCGTGTTGCAGATTATTCTCATCAGACAAAGGTGGAGGAAGTAAGAAAAATATACCAGAATGTGCGAAAGCGGCAAAATTCGAAACATGCCAGCTGGATCCCTGTATGCTAGATCCATGCAAGCCAGAACCAACTGTCGTGATCGTAGGAGCCGGCATGGCCGGACTGTCGGCAGCACATCGATTGGCTCAGTGTGGCCTCCATAACTTTACAGTTTTGGAGGCGACAGACAGGTAATTTTGAATAAAATTGAAATCAGCATTAAGAATTAAATATTAAATCTAAATATAAAATCCTAAACGTTAAACTAAAGTTCTTAAAATATTGTATTATCTTAATAAATGTTATATCTCGAAGTAAATAATTTTAAGTTTAACCGTGTTGCTTTAATGTTAAATTATTTTAACACACTTTATCAGTTCCAATCCCTAAAAATATAATAAGACTTATATCGTCGTGAAATTTCGCTTATTTTGCACAAGCTAATTATAATGCACTTCTAATTCCAGACCGGGTGGACGGATCCACTCGTGCTGGCTGGGCGACGTGGTGGCGGAAATGGGTGCCACGTGGATCGAGGGTGGCTGCGTGGCGAACCCGGTGTACACCCTGGCGGCGCAGGAGGGTCTACTGAAGACGCCGCTTCTCAGGCCGAATCCGAGTCACGGGCTCTTCTGCACCAGCGACGGTAGGGCCATCGATTTCCCGGTCAGCATCGCGGCGTATCACACCTTCCGGCAGATCGAGCAGCAGGCGGCGGCCCTCTTCGCCCTTGGCTGCGGCCGTGCCCACGGTACGTTGCTGAATTTTATGGGCATCAGAATTCAGCAGGAGCTCCACAATTTCCCGGAGGAGCAACGGTACAGTTGTCCAGGTCTCAACCGCAATTAAGCCATATCGGTAGCGATGTAAGGAGTTTGCTTGGGCGGGCCAGACGCGAGTGTGGGAGTTTCCCCTGTTCGCTAAAGTACAACCGTTACATCGCTGCGACTAATCACGACTCAACCACGACTTCGCTCCTATGGTCGAAAATGATGAATTTGGATGATTCGCGTGATTCGCAGATATGATGCCGCGAGGGTGATGTACGGCCTGACGAATTGCTTGAGATGTCGATGCGGAGATGATCTCTCGCTCGTCTCAGCCGATCAGTTCGGCAGCTACATCGAGGTCCCCGGTGGAAATATCAGGGTACCCTTGGGATACGTTGGCGTGCTGGCCCCCTTGCTTCGACATCTACCTAGTTGTTCCGTCAAGTTCGTAGAAAAGCGTGCCTAACTCTTTTATACTTCATCGATTTATCTTTATTTCTTTACGAAAAAATAAGATTAAATTAAATTAAATGTCTTAAACAAGATATAAAAAAGAATTATACGAAAATTGAATTTGTCATGTAATTGAGCTTAGAATATTGATTGGCTATATCTAGATTTGGTAGTCGCACGAGAAAAAATAAATAAAAAATGAGCTTTTACAGGATGTAATTTTGTAGAAGAATGATTTTCTAAAGCCATATGTCTAAATGACAGACTACGATAATATTTAATGTTATAAGAAAACTTTTCTCTTATTTAAATCGATTGGTTTTAATTGTTAAGACCTTAAACTTAAACCATCTGTTTGTTAAAGGGTGCCTATGTGAAATTTAATGTTTTCAAGGTACTGCAAACCAGTCAGTTGCATTCGGTGGGGCGCGGTGAACGACGCGTGTCCGCGAGCTATCGTCAAGTGCAGCGACGGCGACGAGTTCCCCGCTGATTACGTGATCGTAACCGTTTCGCTTGGCGTCTTGAAAAATCAACACGCGAACTTGTTCCTACCGGGATTACCCGCCGAAAAGGTCGAGGCTATCAGCAAGCTCGGATATGGAAACGTCAACAAAATCTTCCTCGAATACGCGAGACCGTTCTGGGTCTGGCGAGAGGGTGCCATCAAGTTGGCCTGGTCCGCTGAAGAACTCGCGGATAGATGCGATTGGGTGAAAGGTTGTCACTCACGATTACCTAACGTTACGATGTAAAATTGCTTAAAAAAAAAAAAAAAATCGACGAATTAAAGTTCTCGCGCGTTTTACATAGGTGTGGCAAACATCGAGGAACTGCCCAATTCTCAACATGTGCTCTGCGCCTGTGTGTGCGGACGCGAGGCCACGGACATGGAACTGTGCCCCGACGAGGAGGTGGTGGAGTCGATGACGTCGGTTCTACGTCGATTCACCGGCGACCCGACGTTACCTTATCCGGCACACATTCTCAGGAGCAAGTGGGGCATGGACCAGTACTTCGCCGGAGCCTACAGTTACATGACGATGGACAGCACCATCGGTCACCAGTGTGATCTGGCTAGTCCACTACCGGGTATCCCCAAATTTTATTTATTCATTTATTTGGAATTTTATTCTAAATATTATTAATTACTTCAACAAATACATTAAAAGGAGCTGTTACGCTCCTCCTTTCCTGGACTTCTAATATTCAGAGATCCTGATATAAATAGATAAATATATCTATTTATTTAATCATTTATTTGGAATTTTATTCCAAATATTATTAATTCCTTTGCCAAATACATTAAAAAGAGCTGTTACGCTCTTCCTTTCCTGGACTTCTAATATTCAGAGATCTTGATATAAATAGATAAATATATCTATTTATTTAGTCATTTATTTGGAATTTTATTCAAATATTAATTCCTTCGCCAAATACATTAAAAGGAGCTGTTACGCTCCTCCTTTCCTGGACTTCTAATATTCAGAGATCCTGATATAAATAGATAAATATATCTATTTATTTATTCATTTATTTGGAATTTTATTCAAATATTATTAATTCCTTCGCCAAATACATTAGAAAGAGCTGTTACGCTCTTCCTTTCCCGGACTTCTAATATTCAGAGATCCTGATATAAATAGATAAATATATCTATTTATTTATTCATTTATTTGGAATTTTATTCCAAATGTTATTAATTCCTTCGCCAAATACATTAAAAAGAGCTGTTACGCTCCTCCTTTCCTGGACTTCTAATATTCAGAGATCCTGATATAAATAGATATATTTTTATAGATATATTTATCTATTTATATCAAGATCTCTGAATATTAGAAGTCCAGAAAAGGAGGAGCGTAACAGCTCCTTTTAATGTATTTGACGAAGGAATTAATAATATTTGGAATAAAATTCCAAATAAATGAATAAATAATATATTATGTCAGACATTATTAACAATTTCATTGGTTCGTTCAGTTTCTTCAATTTTGTAACGTTATAATATTATTTTCCAGACTCTTGCGAAGCGATACCTCCCATACTCTTATTCGCGGGCGAGGCTACTATACCGGGGCATTACAGTACGGTGCATGGTGCAAGGCTCAGCGGCATTCGTGAGGCGGAAAGAATCATTCAATTAACAAAACAATGCAAAGGTCCGCCAAAAAAAAAGTGGTCGTTCAGTGATCTCGTAATCCGATCACAATCAGTGATTACGTGCGTGAATTTCGTTGTGTGACATATATATTACAATGATATCATTGTAATATACATTACAAATCTTGTACTTCGTACAGATACTAATAAAATGATCTATATGGATGGCCTTCTTGTTCGTGAACAGGAAAGATACATTCGCCTCTTAGTTCTAATTAAATTTCCGATTTTAAATTAATCTGAGCTCTCTCGGTCGAAGTCGTCTTGACACGTATGAGTGCGCAAAATATCTAGGATACGTTAATATCCTAGCAATAAAATATATCAAATTATTTCCCAGTAAACGGAATAATGGATTAAAATATATATATTTTTTAAATTGAAATTTTTTAAATAAATTAAAATGGATTGGCCTTTATAGAAACGCATTCATTTCCATGAAGGCCAATCCACTTCAAATCATTTTTAATTCATAATTTGAAATTTTAATCCATTTCCGTTTAGTGGATTTAGATCAATAATACAATAATTATACTGTATTAAGATATACATATATATATAGGTAATTATTTAGATTAGTAATTCTAAAAAATCGATCAAATTATACTCATTCAAATAACCCATTAGATATGCATTATTAATCACGTATAGCTGGCGTTAAAAAAAAACGGCAAAATTTCTGCTTAAGATAAATTAAAATTTAAATGATAAGAAAATGTGTATAATGCTATATATATGCTTGTGCAGTGGCAATTTCAATTCTGAGTGAAAAAGCAAATGGCATTCCACCTAAATGTTTTTTTTATCTAGAAAATTAAAACTGGCTTTTAAAAAGACTTTTCAAGAGCGACTGTAATTCGCTCACGTTATCTCAAAACGTATGCTTCATTTTTGCGAAACCAGCTGTTCGTGACATATGCGATACCCGCAAATTATAACGATCGATAAATAATTATGTCTCAATTATATTTAACCTTGTACGACAAGGGGCATTGTCTGAAGTCAAGCATTCGTCTTTGCTCCAACGATTTCAATCTCCGATTTTAAATTAAAATTTAATCAGGAGCCTCGATCCTGAATCCCGTCACGAGCTTATCCCAGGGGCCAGGATGCTCGTTAATATCCCGAATTACACATCATAAATACATTCCCTAGAATCGGGGGCTGCTGCTGCTGCGCCTGTGGAACAGCCGCAAGTCAAGCCAGGCATGGACGTCGGCAGTGGTCGGTGCTCGCCCGCCGTCTAACATGCGCGTAGTCCGTGACGTACGGGACGGTGTTTTCTGTGCCTCCGCATATGTTTACGCTCGTTTCCTCCACCCGCGAGACGGACCCGGCAAAATGGGCGATATAGCGCCTGATCATGTTTTAGAGGTGATATTCTCGTATCTGGACCTGCACACGCTGAGGAACTGCTCGCTGGTGTGCAAGCGATGGTACCAGTTCCTCAACGACGAGAACAACGACGTGTGGCGGATGCACTGCATACGAAAGCTGGCCCAGGAGGCCCTCAGCTCCGACCTGTTGTCGTCGGTGCCCACGTACAAGTCGAAGCTCCGCGCGTTCTATCACGCGTGGAACCCGAACGACTGCTCGCGGAACATTTTCATTAAGCCCAACGGATTCACCCTGCACAGGTTGGTGCGCGGCCGGACGTTGGTCCTCCCTCCCCCCCTCCCGCGCGCGCGTCATCGCCACGTCGCGGAAGGGGGTTGCCTTTTAAACGCAGGACACATTTCGCCGGAGCGATTCTCTCGTACCGGCACGTACAATCCAAGTATCGCTTCCCGTCGTACAATCACAGTCAGCTGTCAATCGACGTGGCTGCGAGATTCACGAATTTCCTTTTTTGTGAGATGGTGCAGTTTGGGGGGATTTTTTTTTTTTTTTTAGAAGCGTTGAAGGAGCTGCACAGCTGAGCTCGCTTGATCTCTGCGAGAGAGATCAGTATATGTCACATAACGAGTGCTTTCCATTTAGCTGACACAAGCTGGAAACATAAATATCGTTTTGTCTTTGTTACCTGCTAAACGCCTAAGGAGGATAGAATGACGTTTTGTGTCGACTTGTTGTCCACTAAGTGGAAAGCTCCCAAATGCAATCCCTCGGGACCGGTGAAAATTTGTGTACAATACAGTAGAGGCATGTGGAAGTAATCTGACGAATGCAGTATCCAAAATGTCTCGCATCAGTTACCGTATCATTGCAGAAACCCCGTAGCGCAGAGTACGGACGCGTGTAGAGGCAAGATAGGCTTCCGGCACGGGCGCCACGCCTGGGAGGTCATCTGGGAAGGACCGTTGGGTACGGTAGCGGTGATAGGAATAGCCACTAAGGAAGCGCCCCTGCTGTGTCACGGATACGTAGCGTTGCTCGGCTCCAACGAGCATTCCTGGGGCTGGAACCTCGTCGACAACCATTTGCTACACAACGGAGATCCGCAGGGGAATTATCCTTTACTCAACAACGCTCCAAAATATCAGGTAACGCGTCCGTCGCGAATTTCATCCGTGATAATAAAGCTGAGTGCCCTTGTCACACTTTTGTATTCGTTCCTCGACACTTGTCGCGCGCGCGGCTTCGTCAGAAATATTCCTAACGTTTGTAAATTTTTATTTACAGGTTGGGGAAAGGATTAGAGTAATTTTGGATTGTGATGATAATACGTTGTCTTTCGAGAAGAATTACGAGTTTCTGGGTGTAGCTTTTAGAGGTATGACATTTTATCTACCTTTTTTTACATTTTTGATATTTACATATCATTTATTTACTGTCATTAATAAGTGTCTAAAGTTTGAGACAATTATATCATTTCCTTCTTTTATTTTCCATATCATTCCTTGAGATTTTAAAACACAAATGCAAGTCCTTTACGAGTCACTTTGATAAACAGGGTTACCAGATAAGAGATTATACCCATCAGTATCTGCGGTTTACGGAAATACAGAAGTATCCATGGTATACTTAGGACCACCATTGGATGGCTAACACATTACATTTAAAAAAAAAAACATATCCTCAAAAAGCTCGTTTGAGGCTGTACAATGCATTCTTAATGCCAAGTTATCTGCAGTATACCAATATTGTCTACGTTTAAGTAGAGAAAGCACACAACAACAAACTGTGTACAATATTTACGGAAAATGTGTGCCTGTAGATTACTTGGTCAATATTGTAAATAATAGACATTTTATTTTACTTAAACAACTTACGGCAAAATTTTACGTGCATTTAATTAGAACAATTAAATCAATCATTCGATTGGTATAATTGTACGTGTTATACATGGAAGTTTTAAGTAATACCAGTTCTCAAATAATTTGATATAATTTTGTGAAAATGTTATATTGATTTTTATTGAAATATTTCTGTTAAATATCATCATACGAAATAAATTCTGCTATGTCCAAATAAAATTGGGAATCAATAATCTACATATATATACATTTGTACATACATATACATATATGAACTTAATGCTTCCATGTAATATTATTTTTATTTTTATTATTTATGTGTAAAGACAAGATGTGCGCAATGTTTTCTATTAATTTATAATATCTTATTTTCAAGAAGGATTTCTTTCAAAAAGGATTCCATTCTAATGTCCTTAAATAATTGTTATAATTAATATTTAAATACTTTTCAACTTGTTTGCATTTATTTCTTTGTATTTTATATAGTAATCTCAGGACACTTGTTAATAATTCCTTTTTATTGATAGAATTAATAATTGTTATATCCTTCCTGAATATTCATATTCTTTTTAATATGCATAACTTTGTAAATGATGCATCACCAGCCAAAGGAAAAAATACAATAAGAAAATCTCTTATTTTTTTATAAATCAGCGTATGATTTGCTTATTTCTTGATCTGATGATTTAATGTTATCATCTTTATATGTAGAAAAAATTAAGAATTTTAATCATAAATTATTTTATTTATATCATATTTATTTTATAATCGAACAAAAAGTGGCATTCAAAAACGATCCTTCATGTAATAGTATACAGGGTGTCCCACTTCAAGTGTTCATTGCGTATAGCTACATTATTTTTTTTGTACGAGATTAAATCGTGAAAATAAATTATGTAGCGTAATAAAATCAAATAGAGTCAATGGCTGTTGCAAGATCTCGTTCAACAGACGTGAAAATCATTCACATCTAAATAAATAACTCAATTGTACATTTTCAGTTTTCAAAATAAAAGATAGGGATCCATACATGATTTCTTTGAAAACGAAAGGAGAAAGAAAAAAAATTCAATAGCCATTTAGCATTGCTTTCTCTCTCTCATCCGATGTACTTTTCCTCATGTATATTTTTAAACATCCTCACGTCTTATATCAAAGCGATATGAGTTAGATTCTAAGTCGTCGTATATTAGATTCTACGTTGCTACTGAAAATATCATTTTAATATCTTGTGTATATGCTGTATAAATTTGTATGCCACTATTGTGGATGAATGAATAGCACAAAGGAGAGACAACTGCATTAAAAAAAATTTTAAAGCCTGTCCTTTTCATTCATCGTCTAGTGAATTTTTACGTTGACGACATATATTTATATACATATATAAATATGAAGGATTGTATATTACAATCTATATATTTATAAATAATTCTGTTTTTAATGTAAGATTGAATACTGATGATTAGAGTGAACTAGGTGTGTGATCAGTAAGACGATTATTTATAATGTACATATTTATTATAGCGATTGCGTTTGCCGTATGTAGTGTTCGTGAATTAGTTTTTCTAAACTTTTGTACAGAACCGTGTACATAGTGATTATAAATATTTGGGAAATAAACTTTATTTCGTATGTACCTCCGTTGGTTCTGTTCGTCAAGTTCATCAGCCTATACTCATATCCCATTTCGTTGCATTTCAATCGTTGATCTAACCGGGTTTGTGGGTTACACGAATCTTTATTATATAAATAAAAGAAACACAGCTAGACCCAGACGAATTCTTTATTCATTTTACCCAAAATCTTACAATGTTTTTCACAACTCGAATGCTAGTGACGGTGTAACGATGTTACACGTATGCCTATCTCAGATATCTGAGAGTACCTGAATTATTAACTCGTAGAGAGAGATTACCATGGCGATACACCAAAATCAAAAGCCTGCCTTTACAAATGATGTACTGATGCTAAACGTTGAAAACTCTCCCCCGCTCTTTTCCTATCTTTTCGCGCGGAGAAACAGCTTTCGAATGCAGAGTTTTACAAATTTCCAAAGTGCGAATGTGTTGTTTAATCTCGTTAAATAGGCGCGGTTAGGTGTTTGATGAGAGCAATATTTATACAGTGATCAAGAAACATAGTTAACAACAATACTAATATTCTCACTGTGCAAATTTGTATGCAGTCCATTAGAACGCGGCCAATGTTGGGTATTTACGTGTGCGTGTGTAATATAAATTATTATTTAACATGTAATCTAAATGAACGAATAGAAAGCAGCGACTTCGTCTATCTTTATACAAAGAGTATCCCACCAATGTCGTCCTTTTATTTTAAAAAGTAGTAAAAGTAACTATCTCAACTTAATTAATTTGTATTAATACCGCTATTTTAACGCTTATCAAGCGCAAAGTATTAAAGTAAAATCTACTGAAAGTTAACTTGGAAAATTTTTCATTTTCTTCTACTTACATTTCTAGCAACTAATTAGTTCTAATTCTCTTTTATTTCTAATTCTTTATAACTGAAACCTACGAACGTCTCGATTAGAAATGAATGTTCGAGGGACAATGGTGAGACACTCTGCACATGTGTATGAATATTTTATACATTTCAGTTTATATATAGGCTGTGCGTAAATAGCCAACATTGATGAAACGAAGAGTTAATCTTCATATTTCTCTTTTCAATTTTTTCTTCTAATTACAATTTGATTGAAAAAATTACTAGTAAACCATTTAATATTTTATGTACTACGGAATGTATTGAATCACCTTTTTTCTTATAAATAGAATAATTCAGCCAAATATTCTGTTAAAATAAAACTCCACTGATTCCTTAAGCTTTCTGTGTGTCACGCAGAGAAGATTTCTATCTTTGTCTGAATATACAATTCGCCATGGAACGCAAAGTGTAATATGCGAATGTTTGCCAGAATGTCATTTCACATATTCGGTTTTATCGACATTATTTACAAGTTGTACGTCTCTACGTTGAGAATAAGAAGTAATGTATCTTTTTGTACAGAATATGTATAAAGGCAACGCGCGCGAAGTATATCCATGTACAAAATCGTGAACAATTTACTGGCAACGCATTTTGCACAAGCCAGGTATTCGTACAATACCGTTATATAAATGAGGCTGAAACTGACGGAAAATTCATCCTCGATCAATTGTTTAGAATAAAAATCTAAATGATAGTAACAATAACAAAGACGGACGCAGTGGATGTTTCCAATTAAAAAATAAGTATGCAAGATAAATGTCATGGTACATATATAGGTATGCGTTTTACACATTGTTATTCTTACATACATATATATATAATTATTCTTCATCCATAGTACAAGCTATACAAACAACGAAACTGCAAACTTATTTCGCGTCGCGTATTAGCAAAATATAGATTGATTCTTAAAAATAACATTGCAAGTACCATGTGGAATCTGTCAGAAACTCATTTAAGTAGAAGACTACGCAATCACATATTTTTACTTCTAAACAGTACTAAAACTATTAACACAATTACCATTAGCGAGACTATGAAAATATCTTATCTAACAAATCAAATTCAAATCTTCGATATGAAATGCCCGAACATGTCACTACTCTACAAGTTTCCTTAATTTAATTTTTGTTATACTCTCCTTTTTTTTCAGACAACAATAATTGCATTCAGGCAAATTATGAGAGTAAATGAGGTATATATCTCGATAAGTGAGAAAAAGTTTCTCCGCATAAATTGTTTATTATAATAATCTAGTTAGGCAAATCTTACAGTTGCATGTCATGTCAACATATAAATAAAATAAAAAATTAAGTAACAAAACTAACTGTTTAAATACCATCTAAGCTGCTGAATAAATTTTATCAAAAATAGAATGAACAAAATATATCTATATAAATAAACAAGACAGTTTGCTATCGTAATTTTACATCCTTTCGAAACGCATGTGAATTTAATGTATTGTTATACCTTAATAAATAAAAAATTTTATATTATATATTGCAATTATTTTATGGTAACAATAAAAAAATTTGTTTTTTAATTCGACTAGTTTATAAGTAACCAATGAAAAGTATTTACTTAGGTAGTGGTAATTTTTATATTACTTTTCAAAAACTAAATGCAATCTCTGTGTACAAGGATATATATATATTTTCATTTTTATTAAAATATTCGCAACAACCTAATCAATCGCATTAATTTAAATACTGATCTTTTCACAGTATCTTACACAGTTTCTATTCTCTCTTCGAAAGAATCCCTTCACGCGATTAGGCCATTTTAATAAAAAATACTATAATAGTATTTTTATAGTACCATGCCAAAAGACACCCTTATTTCTTACTAGTTTAATTTGCGAAATGCTACTACCTAATGCAAGAATTGGAATATTCTCGTGCAAGAGTTATGATCATTCTACTTTTAACCTAACTGTAAGATTTAGTATGTCATTTGTGGTATATTTAATATTCCACAAAGATACCTAATCAAACTCTCTTATATATTTAAATTACAAGATCACCAAGATTAGATTTTTCTATATCGTTATTACAAGTCAATTCTATATAGTGTCACTAATATATTATTATCAATATTATTACATAGATATTGATAACATAAATTCTCTGTACTATCAAGCCGTTTTCATCGAAAAATAAGTTTCTTTCTTTAATGGCAGCTTACTGAAATTACGGAACTTTATAAGTTTTTTTTTGTTTTCGTTCTAATTCTGTACAACAACATAGGCCGTTCTATTTTTAATATGCGGCAATGTTTACAGAACTGATTATCATACAAAAATCGTTTTCATACGATGTTCTAAAGATGTTCTATTTGACAGGACGTAAAATGGACGTTAGCTTTTATTCATGTGAGAGCACTATTTTCATGAATCTTTTAATTTCTTGTCTGGACGAAAGCATTAATTTATAATCTGCGCGTTTATCCATTTATCACATAACATGCTATACATATCGCAAAAAGCGAATTCTAAATTCTAAGATTTTCTCGCTATGTTATGTCAATGAGGATATATTTCCGCATGCGAAAATTCGTATAGTATAAGATTAAATATATAGTATAGGAACTGTCATATAAAAATATTTCCATTATACACGACTAGTTTCGCAAATAGAGTCGTGGATTTATCAAAATAAGAGCATCGTATATATGGCACAAAATGCTCAGCTCTTTACGGCCTCCAGATTATTAATGTTTTAAACCTAAGAGATGATTCCTGTGGCCCAAAATACTTACACTACATGCATATATGCATTTCTAAACTGCGAAAGTTCGCGAAGTTTCACGATTTGCCTTCCAAAGTGGGCAGTATTATGATCATGAACTTTTTTTCAACAAACTCACTCCGAGTCCTGATAATATAAGCTTGACGATAAAAATATAAAAACATCGGCTATGATAATTTCTTAAAATTGTTCTAAACATTAAAGATTAAAAAAAAAAAGAAGTTTAAAAATGTCATGATTTTTTTTAACAATTAAATGTCTAGAAATTATTAAAACTTCTGAATATAAATTTCTCATTAAAATCACCTTACAAGAAAATTTGTTCTTCCAAAATAAAAATAAAACACATTAACGAATTAATGAGTTGTTGACTTTAATAAGTTAAAGCAAGTAAAGCTTCTTTTATTTTATTGTGTCGTTAGGACAACTGGCCTGTTTTAGTGTATCTCAGACCGTGCTACTAAGAAGATTCACTGTGAAACCTCGTGAACTTTCGCTGCCTACCTATAACGTATGATACATAGATAAAATATTGCAGTTTCGTTATTTGAATATCTTCACTTCTATTGCGCAAGTAAAAACGAATATAAAAACGCATAAGATGGTTTTTTTTTTAACAACGCGTTTTTATCTAATAAAAGATGCAATTATATTTTTAACCACTGTTAGTTACTGAACGTCAGCTTAAGCCTCTCTTTGAGATTCTTAATCTATGCACAGCGTTAGGCATGATAAGCATCTGGACAGAAATTTATATTTCAAATTGACTATTCTTATCGTTTGGTATCATGGACTAACGAATTAAAACTAATATGATCACAACGATTGTACCAAGATTAAAGTTATCTATTTGGTATATCTTGCGTATGTATATATGTGTGAGAGTTTAATTCTCGAAAAATAAAAGTCTCTTTAAATATTTCTCAAATAAAAGTTTTTAGTAAAAATATGCTGATCGTTTGTAGTTGCGAACTGCAAATACAATTAATTGTTAAACCTGGTAGAAGTCAGTTTTTCCTATCTCCCATTTTTTAAGCTTCCCTGTAGACCATATTTAGAAGATGACACAACAGACATAATTATTAAAGTCTATGTCTCAGTCTGCAAGGAAGAAAAACCTGATGTTCTTACGTACCTACACAATCTACGATAGGACTAATATCTGCGCGATTACTAACGCAAATGCACATTATGTAAAAATATTACAAACCCATAAGTATCATTTCTCGAATAAACCTTTGACGCTGCAATACTAAATGTATACTCACTCAATCAAGACGAGGTGTGTTGAAAACACATAAAGACAATAATAGTTTCCTCTTCTCTTCCTCCGAAATTAATCGAAATGCGTATGGCCGTTCCCTGAGGTGTTAGACTCTTCGTGTAACTTCTCGTTCTGCTCGTATGTACAATTCTTCTTTGGAATAGCGCACTCCAGCGACGGCTTAACCCTAGTCAGCGGAAACTTGGTTAGGAAAAAGTTGGAACCGTAACAGAACAGCTTGCACAGAATGGGACATAGTATTAGCTGATGAGTCACTGCCCATATTCGATAGTTTTGACCTTCAAACGGATCCAAGACAGCTGCGCACAACATATGACTAAGATTCACCTGTACAGGCTGCAAAAATAACGAATAATAATTGCAAGATAGATTTTTCAGAGGATCACGCCTCCGTGACGGCATTCAGATAACAAGGCAACGAACCAAGGCAACACTTTGAAGAATCCAAAAGTGATATCCTGCGTTAAGGCCGTAACTGAGGATTGACCAGCTCATATCGGATAAGGGCTCAATGTTATATACACCTAATGGAAAGAATAGCAAAGTCGTTATCCATCATCCGCTGTTATCCCATTATTCGAGCACAGATAATTACCTCCAATCCTCAACAAATAATACGGTATTACTAGCATCAAACCGTGCTGAATATAGTACATTGCTTTGTCTGCAAATATCTAAAAAAAAAAATTCATTTGTTATTCATTTTCATTAAAGTTTTGCTCAACAACATGTTATTGTCGCAACATTTATTGTCACTTACAATCCGAGACTCTGTCTCTGGAAATAGATAAGCTAATACCGGCCCATTCAACAGATTCAGATGTATCCTGAAGATAGCAGTGACTGTTGGACTAGGATCCGCAGCCAGTAAATACAACTGTTTTGTAACAGAGAGAACATATAAATATAGTAAAAATGTTTAGCTCAAACGTGAGAAGAGATTAGGTCTACCTTTGACAATTGCATCGACACGATGTGGCACAAACTTACCTGTAATGCCGTCGTAATGTGACATGGATTTAACAGATATATAACAGTCCTGCTGGTAAACTTAAAGCCGATCTCCATCCCCAGGACTAGCGACATCACAATCAGCAGGACTCGCCTGCCGACACGGTCCTGGCCAACGTAGGCCAGCTTCCTCGGCAAAGTTACTCGCTTGAGGCCCCATACGATGAAGGATATAATAAATACGGATATAAACAGGGTTTCTATTATCCGTCGCTTCAGCGTCAGGTAATTCGCACATTCCGGACCGACGTTGCGCGGTATGGAGCTGTTCACCCCATCGTACGCCCACTCGAACATCGTCCTAAATTAAATTAACTTCGTTTCGGGAATCGGGAACTGAAACAGAACAGGAATCGTTCCGTAAGTCGTCCAGTTTATATACCAGTCGCGATGACGAGAATTTTCCATTCGTATCGAGTCCGTGACACGATGAGGAAAAAATATTGAAATTATGGGCACGCCCAACTAATAGAATCAAGATACTGATTTTTGCTTATTTAACGCCAATAAAATGGGATTACAAAGCGGTTTTTAATCGCGAGTACTGCGTCGCTGCTGGTTAAGTTCACAAATTACCACTACCGGTCACGATAAGATATTCAAACGTAGACTTGACGGAGAAAAAAATATTGAAGACACGCGCAACTACTGGAATAAAAAGATGCAGGTTTTTTGCTCGATGAAAAAAGATTACGAAACAATTTTTATTCACGATCACCGCGGCTAAAGTCCACAAGTCTCCGCGACCACCAGTCGCGATGAGGGAAAATGCTCGAACGACGACTCGACGGAGGGAAAAAATATTGAAACGGGCACGCCGAATTAATGGAATGAAGATACGGATTTCCGCTTAATGTAAAAAGAGAACGGGATTACGAGGGCCGTTTCAAATTCACTGCGTTGCGGCTTAAGTGAGTCGAGCAAGGTTAGAGACGGAGAAAGCCAACGGGACGTATGATGCTTTATTGATCTCGGTGTCGAATTGTCAGTCGTTCGGCATGCACGATCGCGGTACCTAAAATAAAAGCTGTCCGCCGCAACGGGATCCGTATTTGAGTAACAGTGCCCTGCACTAAAAACCAAAACAATTAACAATACCGGAATGTCAATAGACTTTAGTCGCGAGTTCGAAACCCCCCCTCCCGCGACACGAACATCGATTGGCTGGCAGGCACTGCTGGCCACAGATTATCCAAGCAAATAGATTAGCAACTCCCCACGTTTGCCTTGGAACCACTTGGAACAGTGTTTTGAACGCCACCTGGGCGAATATACGTAACAAACTAATATTCAATATGGCTACATCTAAAGCCGGTATCAGACTACGCATTGGAGATTGAGATTAAGATTGAGATTAAGATTGAAATTGAAGATTGTACAATCACATTACAGATTGTGATCTGCATTGCAATTGACAATATTGCTGCGTTCAGCAAACAAAGCAGCTCGGTTTATATACATATTTGCATATATTATTAAGATAATTTACTAAATTTTGTTCATAACAAT